GCGATGGCGTCTGTGGGGTGGCAGGGCTCGCACGGCCCCACCTCACACCTCTGTCTTGCCCCCTGTGGCCCCCACAGCCCCACCTCACACCTTTGTCCTGCACGGCCCCGCATGGTCCCCACGGCCCCGCCTCACACTGCTGTCTTACACCGCCCCACAGGGGAAGGTGTCCTACCTTTCTCCCCTGGCAGGCCCCAGCAGTGCCTGGCCCTATCCTGCAGCCCTGCTCCTGCCTCGCAGGAGGGGAGGCTGAGGCAGAGAGCAACCGAGGAGGCTCTCCAAGGCCTGCAGCAGGCCAAAGCCCTGCCCAGCCTGCAGTGTGGCTCCTTGGCAGGGTTCCCCCGCTGGGCCCGAGGGTCCCCCCGCAGGGAGCTGCATGCCTGGGCAGCCGCCTGCACCTGCGGGCTGGGGCCACCAGCACAGGTACCCCACAGCAGGGCAGCCGCCTGCTCCAGAGCTTTATGAAGACAGAGATGCAAGTCCAAGAGCCAATGGTGGGTATGGTGCCTTGGCTGGCAGCCCCGCCTTGATGTAAAACACACCCATGCCATTAACAGGCCGTGAAGGGCATCACTGCATGTAGATGCCGCTTCCAGCATAGACGGGGCCCAGCATTTGTCTTAGGAAATCAATGATGCCACGCAGACCACCTTGCAGAGCTGCTTCTGGGCAGTAAGGCAGGCCAGCGACTGCCCTAGGACAGCCTTCCTGTCTGTCCTTGCTCTTTACCTGCCACCCCTTAGATGCTTGCAAAGCTGAAATCTGTTTATCACATTGAGGCATGCAGATACAACAGCCGTGAGCAGATACAGATTCTTTGGAGATAGCCTCCCTCCCATGCTGTACAATTTGACTGCACATTTCCATCGTGCTATATTGTCTGCTCAAAATCCATGCCTTCAAGATTCTCAGTAGCTCCTTCTTGTATACAAGCTGAAAGACGTGAGGCATTTAAAGTGGAATAGCCTTGAAAATAAAAAGTAGTTGGGCATAGAGCTATAGTTGTATGTTTATTCAGGCAGACATATACAAGCCTTTATGGCCAGTCAAACATACTTTGTCTGCAGAAATTATGCTATTGGAAATATCTGCAAATAAAACACTAACTGGGATATGTGTGAGATCCTAAAGATTTGACCATTGTTTTTCAATATTCTTGCCTTACAAGAACAGCAGCATGAGACCTAAATCAGTTGCATTCCTCATGAGAAAATATGTTGGGAAATACTTCGTCAGCGTTCCTATCGAAAGGGTGGGCAGGGTATTATTCCTTGCTTTCTGTTCGATTATGATTGATTCCTCACCATATCATCTTCAGGATGTGCTTTATTTGGACAAGTGGGCATAAAAAGACCTGGTAGAATGGCAGATAAAGATGTGTAGCGAATTTAGACAGTGGACAGATATCTGTTTGGGCTCAGGTATTGCTCCCCATGGCTCCTGCTGGCTTGGTGACCCTCCTGTCAAGCAGCAAAAAGTTCAAGGGCAGTCCCTAATGTGCTCCAAGGATAACGGAGAGGTTACCTTCACTGGTTTTAATAAATGTTCTAGCTAATCTGGCATGATGAGGTTCACTGCTTTATTTCCCATTAACAAACCATAGGCCCATGGTCTTGCATTTCTTTCTGTTACACAAACTAGCAAATGCATAACTTGCTTAGCCTCTCAGGAGCTTAATTGCTTTCTATTTGCAGCACTAAATACTTCAGTAACAGCCACCTTGCTATCGATTTTAGCAGGAGCTGGGCATCTTCAGGGATAGAT